TCATATGATATCTACGTATATATATATGTATATGTGTGTATATATATCTATACTGAAGAGAGAGGAGGCACACATGTTTGAAAACAAAAACAAAACATAAAAGTAATGGTAAGAAGTAGAAAAAAGAAACGGTAAGGAAAAGGCACTCTTTTTTCTCTATATATCAGATCAGACTATTCTACTGCTACAGAAAGAAGGGCAAACGGGAGAAAATCCACGTAAACGAGTGACCTTCCCCTCAAAGCAAAGACAAAAACTACATATAAAAGGGCGGCTCTGCTTGCGGTCGACACATTCGCTCGTCCGCTGAGCATGGTAAGGCGGCCGGCGGGACGGAGAGAGGAACGGTGTTGTGACGTTGGTCTCCTCTGTCGCCTGGAAAAGATCGTCTTTTATGTCATTTGAACGAAAGCTTTATGTAGCCAAGGCGTGTATTGTGACTGGGGAATCGATAGTGGTTTGTGAATTGATTCGAAGTATGAAAAGACAGTTGAGGACGAATTAGAAATTACTTATCTAATGTACATTTCTCAGATGCGCTCTAAATAAGTATTAAGATAATTCGCTGTATGACTGGAGACTATTGCTCTAACTATTGACTGCGTCATTCTGTAAGTGTATTCGCTTCTGATTTACAGATGAAGTTCTTACTGCTGTTGGCTTTGGTTGCTGTGGCTGCTGGGGATCACTCCCTTGGCGGACACAGGCATTTCCATGGACTTTCCCATCCCGTTGGGCATGGGCACTTCCCTCATGTTGGGCACGGGCACTTCCCTCATATCGGGCATGGCTTCAGACATGCCGCCGTCCACCGCCCCGTGCGACCCGTGGCACCTGTGCGACCTGTGGTGCACCAGCCGGCTCCCGCGCCCCCGGTGAGTCCTCGGACCCTTCTGGTGTGGCAGGATATCGTCAAATGAAAACAAATCAAAGATAAAACTTAATTTGCAAAAGCAAATGCTTCACTGTCATTACGAGTTAAATTGTTCCCACTTGCCTGAGTCGATTTCCTCTATCAGAATATCCCCCCATCAAATCAAATCTAATAGACTAATGAGAAAGTCTTTTCTCTTGAATCCCAGGTGCATCGAGGCCAAACTGTACCTGCGGTGCCACCGGCAGCTGCCTCGGGCGTCCCGGTGAGTGTCGAGGCCCCTGACGCTGCATTCAGGACTGCTTTCGCACCTTGAAATGACTAGTATATAAGAATGGAATGACGAGGTCCTTCATCTAACCTTTAGAATCAATCCCTGTTTTCCTTTTGAGTTCAATCATTCCCGCTGTCGATATCGATTAAGATAATCTCCCCTAACATCAAACATTCTTTGCCCACCCACAACAATGGCGGTTCGGCCCACTTCAGGTGGACGACAGGCAGGGCGACAGCGAATACCACTTCTCGTGGCGCCATGACGGCCGCAAGACCTACACGTGGGATGGCGCCAACCAGTACTGCGGCAACCTTGGCTCCGGCTGGCAGGGCATCAGCATCGGGACTCAGCAGGAGGACAGTCTCGTCAGGAAAGCGATTATAGAAGGTAACACTTTAAGCTGATCCTCTCTGTTGTTTTGTGGGATTCAGACCCGAGCCTTGAAGGGTCCATGCTCGAGTTCACGAAGGTATGTGTACACGTTTGCTAAATGTGTGCATTTTTATTTTCTTTTTAGATCGCCTACCATGGATTTGGACTTCAGGTCGTATCAAGAACCACGGCTTCACCTGGGATTCAGGTGAAGAATTCGTGGGTCTGAACTGGTCTCACACCGGCGGGTAAGTGCTTCCTAGCTTTTCGTTTTACTCAAACATATCCAGATGCTTTCATTTTGCCGGAAACTCTTCTAACTCGTACCAATGTGATCACCAGGAATCATCGACCACAACCAGACAACCGAGAGGGGAACGAGCACTGCCTGGGGGTTCTCAACGACTTCTACGACGACGGCGTCAAGTGGCACGACATCGCCTGCCACCACGACAAGGCTATCATCTGCGAGCGCAAAGTCCGAGTTCACGGATAAACACATATACACATGCATGCAGGAGTACATGCACACTGCTTTCATGTAGCATGATCACGTCCATATGATCTAGAGCAAATGATTATACACTGTATTTATTCCTATTTATATTTGACTATAGATGTAGACTATCTTTTTCACATAAATTTCCTGACCAACAATAGCATCACTTTTGTTTCCCTGATTTTGACCGAGAAGTTACTTTTCAATGTAAAGAACATGAGTACAGAGGGTGAGGCACCGAGAGCCGACACACCTCAGCTCCAGTCCCTGATGAAACAGCTGTAGATGTTAGTTTGTGTTTATGTTTTCCTTCGTGTGTGGGAGGGACAGCAGTAGAACACCAGGAGAGGTCACATTAGAAGGCTAAAGAGGCGCCACTAGAAGGGCAGAAGGGGCGCCATTAGAAAGGGTGAGGGGACACTGTTAGAAGAGTGGAAGAGACACCATTAGAAGGCTTAAGTGGCACCATTGGAAGGTCAGGAGGGGCACCATTAGAAGGGCGATGAGGCATCATTAGAAGGCTCAAGAGGCACCATTGAAAGGGCAGAAAGGGCGCCATTAGAAGGGGAAGGAACACCATTAGAAGGGTAGAATGGGCACCGTTGGAAAGGCAGAAGGGGCGCCATTAGACGGAGAACTGGGCACCTTGTGCTGTTTGGTGCAGCGGTAGCGTCCTCGCCTGGCAATCTAATTTACCTGCGTTCGATTACCGCGCCGTCAGTGGGTGATAACACCGGTCATTCCATGCACAAAGGGGATAGTTTAAAAACAAACACACAAGCCACAATTTGCCTGAAGTCATAAGTACCTGTCGCAGCAAACCCTAAATTATCATTATCTTTATTATTATCATTAGAAGGGCAGAAGGGGCACCATTAAAAAGGGAGAAAGGGCACCATTAGAAAGGCTAAAGGAGAATCAGAAGGAAGGAGGAAGAAAGGGAGAAGGAAGAGGAGCAAGGGGATCAAAAGAAGGAAAAAGAAATGACAGGGACTATAAGTAAGAAGCAGAACAAAATAAGGAGGAAGTAAAAGGAATTAAGACAGGAAAGGAAGAGTTTATTTGAAGTTGCTAAAAACTTCAAATTAAATAGAATTTGCTTGAGAAAATTAAAAACGGGAATGGAGAAATGTTGAACAAAATATAGATATCAAGAGTTAAGGAAGCCAATAGAAAAAAAATGAATAAGTAAATGGATTAATAGATTAAGAGTTACAGTTAAATCTTGGAGACAGAAAGTTCTAGAAAAGTCCAATAATTTCCTGCACGTATCTAAGAAAGTTCCCGAAAAGTTCATAGAGGTTCTGAGAAATAAATCTCAAATGTTACCGTAGAATTTAGAAAAGAAATTTTGCATGTGTTTCTGTAGGAGAAAATTGACAGAAAATCCTGGAAAATCACCGGGAACAGTTCCAGAAATTGGAGTATCAGAACAGATTCGAGAAAGTTTCAGCATAGGAAGTATGTGTGTATGTATATCTATATAAATATATACAGATACAAATATTCATATACATGCATACACTTGTATATTTGAAAGAAAAAATACGCATATATTTGATAAAAAGAATAATGAAAAAATACAAAGGACTTCGTCAAGTTAAGGCCTTTAATTTTTAATTTTTTATTTTTTATTATTTATTTTTTAGAAGGCATATGTTTTTTTTTCATTCTTTCTTTCTTTCTTTCCCATCAAGTTCCTTTTGCTGCTACGGAATGAAGGGCAAACGGGAGAAAATTCACGTAGATGAGTGACCTTCACCTTAAAGCAAAGGTAAGAGCAAAAGCTGCATATAAAAGGGCGGCTCTGCTTGCAGTCAACACATTCGCTCGTCCGCTGAGCATGGTAGGCCGGCCGGGCGCTGGGGAAGATCACGCGTCTGAACACTTTTACGTTATTTAGACGAAATGCTTTGGTAGACGAGGCGTGTATTGTGACTGAGGAGTCGATAGTGGTTTGTGAATTGAGTGTCAAGTGTGAAAAGACAGTTGAGGACGAATTCGTAATTACTTATCTATTGTGCTTTATCCAGACGCGCTCTAAATAAGTTGTAAGATAATTCGCTGTGTGACTGGAGACTATCGCTCCAACTATTGACTATTTGCGTCATTCTGTAAGTGTATTCGCTTCTGATTTACAGATGAAGTTCTTACTGCTGTTGGCTTTGGCTGCTGTGGCTGCTGGGGATCACTCCCTTGGCGGACACAGGCATTTCCATGGACTTTCCCATCCCGTTGGGCATGGGCACTTCCCTCATGTTGGGCACGGGCACTTCCCTCATGTTGGGCATGGCTTCAGACATGCCGCCGTCCACCGCCCCGTGCGACCCGTGGCACCTGTGCGACCTGTGGTGCACCAGCCGGCTCCCGCGCCCTCGGTGAGTCCACGGACCCTTCTGGTGTGGCAGGATATCGTCAAATGAAAACAAATCAAAGATAAAACTTAATTTGCAAAAGCAAATGCTTCACTGTCATTACGAGTTAGATTGTTCCCACTTGCCTGAGTCGATTTCCTTTACCAGAATATCTTCCCCTCAAATCAAATTTAATAGACTAATGAGAAAGTCTTTTCACTTGAACTCCAGGTGCATCGAGGCCAAACTGTACCTGCGGTGCCACCGGCAGCTGCCTCGGGCGTCCCGGTGAGTGTCGAGGCCCCTGACGCTGCATTCAGGACTGCTTTCGCACCTTGAAATGACTAGTATATAAGAATGGAATGACGAGGTCCTTCATCTAACCTTTAGAATCAATCCCTGCTTTCCTTTTGAGTTAAATCATTTCCGCTGTCGATATCGATTAAGGATATCTCCCCTAACATCAAACATTCTTTGCCCACCCACAACAATGGCGGTTCGGCCCACTTCAGGTGGACGACAGGCAGGGCGACAGCGAATATCATTTCTCGTGGCGCCATGACGGCCGCAAGACCTACACGTGGGATGGCGCCAACCAGTACTGCGGCAACCTTGGCTCCGGCTGGCAGGGTATCAGCATCGGGACTCAGCAGGAGGACAGTCTCGTCAGGAAAGCGATTATAGAAGGTAACACTTTAAGCTGATCCTTTCTGTTGTTTTGTGGGATTCAGACCCGAGCCTTGAAGGGTCCATGCTCGAGTTCACGAAGGTATGTGTACACGTTTGCTAAATGTGTGCATTTTTATTTTCTTTTTAGATCGCCTACCATGGATTTGGACTTCAGGTCGTATCAAGAACCACGGCTTCGCCTGGGCTTCAGGTGAAGAATTCGTGGGTCTGAACTGGTCTCACACCGGCGGGTAAGTGCTTCCTAGCTTTTCCTTTTACTCAGACATATCCAAAGGCTACATTTTGCCGGAAACTCTTCTAACTCGTACCAATGTGATCACCAGGAATCATCGACCGCAACCAGACAACCGAGAGGGGAACGAGCACTGCCTGGGGGTTCTCAACGATTTCTACGACGACGGCGTCAAGTGGCACGACATCGCCTGCCACCACGACAAGGCTATCATCTGCGAGCGCAAAGTCCGAGTTCACGGATAAACACAAATACACATGCATGAAGGAGTACATGCATACTGCTTTCATGTAGTATGATCACGTCCATATGATCTAGAGCAAATGATTATACACTGTATTTATTCCTATTTATATTTGACTATAGATGTAGACTATCTTTTTCACATAAATTTCCTGACCAACAATAGCATCACTTTTGTTTCCCTGATTTTGACCGAGAAGTTACTTTTCAATGTAAAGAACATGAGTACAGAGGGTGAGGCACCGAGAGCCGACACACCTCAGCTCCAGTCCCTGATGATGTTAGATGTTAGTTTGTGTTTGTTTTCCTTCGTGTGTGGGAGGGACAGCAGTAGAACACCAGGAGAGGTCACATTAGAAGGCTAAAGAGGCGCCACTAGAAGGGCAGAAGGGGCGCCATTAGAAAGGGTGAGGGGACACCATTTGAAGAGTGGAAGAGACACTATTAGAAGGCTTAAGTGGCACCATTGGAAGGTCAGGAGGGGCACCATTAGAAGGGCGATGAGGCATCATTAGAAGGGTCAAGAGGCACCATTGAAAGGGCAGAAAAGGCGCCATTAGAAGGGGAAGGAACACCATTAGAAGGGTAGAATGGGCACCGTTGGAAAGGCAGAAAGGGCGCCATTAGACGGAGAACTGGGCACCTTGTGCTGTTTGGTGCAGCGGTAGCTTCCTCGCCTGGCAAGCTAATTTACCTGCGTTCGATTACCGCGCCGTCAGTGGGTGATAACACCGGTCATTCCTTGCACAAAGGGGATAGTTTAAAAACAAACACACAAGCCCCAATTTGCCTGAAGTCATAAGTACCTGTCGCAGCAAACCCTAAATTATCATTATCTTTATTATTATCATTAGAAGGGCAGAAGGGGCACCATTAAAAAGGGAGAAAGGGTACCATTAGAAAGGCTAAAGGAGAATCAGAAGGAAGGAGGAAGAAAGGGAGAAGGAAGAGGAACAAGGGGATCAAAAGAAGGAAAAAGAAGTGACAGGGACTATAAGTAAGAAGCAGAACAAAATAAGGAGGAAGTAAAAGGAATTAAGACAGGAAAGGAAGAGTTTATTTGAAGTTGCTAAAAACTTCAAATTAAACAGAATTTGCTTGAGAAAATTCAAAACGGGAATGGAGAAATGTTGAACAAAATATAGATATCAAGAGTTAAGGAAGCCAATAGAAAAAAAAAAATGAATAAATAAATGGATTAATGGATTAAGAGTTACAGTTAAATCTTGGAGACAGAAATTCTAGAAAAGTCCTATAATTTCCTGCAAGTATCTAAGAAAGTTCCCGAAAAGTTCAATGAGGTTCTGAGAAATAAATTTCAAATGTTACCATATAATTTAGATAAGAAATTTTGAAGGTAGTTTTGTAGGAGAAAAATGACAGAAAATCCTGGAAAATCACCGGGAAAAATTCCAGAAATTGGAGTATCAAAACATTCGAGAAAGTTTCATTATAGGAAGTATGTGTGTGTATGTATATCTATATAAATATATACAGATACAAATATTCATATACATGCAGACACATGTATATTTGAAAGAAAAAATACGCATACATTTGATAAAAAGAATAATGAAAAAATACAAAGGACGTCAAGTTAAGGCCTTTAATTTTTTATTTTTTATTTTTTATTATTTATTTTTTAGAAGGCATATGTTTTTTTTCTTTCTTTCTTTCTTTCTTCCCCATCAAGTTCCTTTTGCTGCTACGGAATGAAGGGCAAACGGGAGAAAATTCACATAGATGAGTGACCTTCACCTTAAAGCAAAGGTAAGAGCAAAAGCTGCATATAAAAGGGCGGCTCTGCTTGCAGTCAACACATTCGCTCGTCCGCTGAGCATGGTAGGCCGGCCGGGCGCTGGGGAAGATCACGCGTCTGAACACTTTTACGTTATTTAGACGAAATGCTTTGGTAGACGAGTCGTGTATTGTGACTGAGGAGTCGATAGTGGTTTGTGAATTGAGTGTGAAGTGTGAAAAGAGAGTTGAGGACGAATTAGAAATTACTTATCTAATGTACTTTATCCAGACGCGCTCTAAAAGAGTTGTAAGATAATACGCTGTGTGACTGGAGACTATCGCTCCAACTATCGACTATTTGCGTTATTCTGTAAGTGTATTCGCTTCTGATTTACAGATGAAGTTCTTACTGCTGTTGGCGGCTTTAGCTGCTGTGGCTGCTGGGGATCACTCCCTTGGCGGACACAGGCATTTCCATGGACTTTCCCATCCCGTTGGGCATGGGCACTTCCCTCATGTTGGGCACGGGCACTTCCCTCATGTTGGGCATGGCTTCAGACATGCCGCCGTCCACCGCCCCGTGCGACCCGTGGCACCTGTGCGACCTGTGGTGCACCAGCCGGCTCCCGCGCCCCCGGTGAGTCCTCGGACCCTTCTGGTGTGGTAGGATATCGTCAAATGAAAAAAATCAAAGATAAAACTTAATTTGCAAAAGCAAATGCTTCGCTGTCTTTACGAGTTAGATTGTTCCAACTTGCCTGAGTCGATTTCCCTTACCAGAATATCTTCCCCTCAAATCAAATTTAATTGACTAATGAGAAAGTCTTTTCACTTGAATCCCAGGTGCATCGAGGCCAAACTGGACCTGCGGTGCCACCGGCAGCTGCCTCGGGCGTCCCGGTGAGTGTCGAGGCCCCTGACGCTGCATTCAGGACTGCTTCCTCACCTTGAAATGACTAGAATATAAGAATGGAATGACTAGGTCCTTCATCTAACCTTTAGAATCAATCCTTGTTTTCATTTTGAGTTAAATCATTCCCGCTGTCGATATCGATTAAGGAAATCTCCCCTAACATCAAACATTCTTTGCCCACCCACAACAATGGCGGTTCGGCCCACTTCAGGTGGACGACAGGCAGGGCGACAGCGAATATCACTTCTCGTGGCGCCATGACGGCCGAAAGACCTACACGTGGGATGGCGCCAACCAGTACTGCGGCAACCTTGGCTCCGGCTGGCAGGGCATCAGCATCGGGACTCACCAAGAGGACAGTCTCGTCAGGAAAGCGATTATTGAAGGTAATGTTTGAAGCTGATCCTCTCTGTTGTGTTGTGGGATTCAGACCCGAACCTTGAAGGCTCGAGACTCGAGTCCACGAAGGTATGTGGACACGTTTGCTAAATGTGTGCATTTTTATCTTCTTTTTAGATCGCCTACCATGGATTTGGACCTCAGGTCATATCAAGAACCACGGCTTCACCTGGGCTTCAGGTGAAGAATTCGTGGGTCTGAACTGGTCTCACACCGGCGGGTAAGTGCCTCCTGGCTTTTCCTTTTACTCAGACATATCCAAAGGCTACATTTTGCCAAAAACTAAGTCGTACAAATGTGATCACCAGGAATCATCGACCACAACCAGACAACAGAGAGGGGAACGAGCACTGCCTGGGGGTTCTCAACGACTTCTACGACGACGGCGTCAAGTGGCACGACATCGCCTGCCATCACGACAAGGCCATCATCTGCGAGCGCAAAATCCGAGTCCACGGATGAACACAAATACACATGCATGCAGGAGTACGTGCACACTGCTTTCATGTAGCATGATCATGTCCATATGGCCTAGAGAAAATGATTATACACTGTATTTATTCCTATTTATATTTGACTATAGATGAAGACGATTTCTTTCACATAAATTTCTTGACCAACAATAGCATCACTTTTGTTTCCCTGATTTTGACCGAGAAGTTAGTTTTCAATGTAAAGAACATGAGCACAGAGGGTGAGGCATCAGAGCCGACACACCTCAGCTCCAGTCCCTGATGAAAAAGCTATAGATATTGGTTCGTGTTGGTGTTTTCATGCATGTGTAGGAGGGCCGAGGAACAGCAGTAGAACCCTAGAAGAGGCACCATTAGAAGGCTAATGTGGCACCATTGGAAGGACAGAAGGGGCGCTATTGAAAGGGCGAAGGGGCACCATTAGAAGGGGTGATGGGGCACGATTAAAGGCTAAATTGGCATCATTGGAAGGGCAGATGGGGCGATATTAGAAGGGGGAAGGAACACCATTGGAATGGCAGAAGGGACGCCATTAGAAGGCCTGAAGGAGCACCATTAAAAGGGCAGAAGAGGCACCATTAGAAGGGCTTAAAGAGAATCAAAAGGAAGGAGGAAGAATGGGAGAACGAGAAGGAACAAGTGGATGAAAAGAAGGAAAAAGAAATGACAGGGAATATAAGTAATAAGCAGAGCAAAATCAGGAGGAAATAAAAGACAAGAAGGAAGGAAGAAGGAGAAGAGAAAAAAGGAAGAGTCCATTTGAAGTTGCTAAAATCATCAATATAAAACAGAATTTGCTTGGGAAAAAGAAATGGAGGAATGTAAAACACAAGATAAATATTAAGAGTCAAAGAAATCAATAAAAAATAAGAATAGTAGATAAGTAAATGGATTATTAGATTTATAGAAAGGGTCCAAGAATTTCCTTCAAGGT